ATGGAAGACAGTTTTTCCACGGGGGGTGGGGTGCAGAGCTCCGTAGGAGGTTGAGGACTGCAGCTCTAGCCTGTTCCTCCTGTGACTTGTTTCTTTTGGGGCTCTGGAGACATCAGCCACCAGCAGTTGTCTTCCTCCTGCCTAGGACAGCAAACCATGCTGAACAACGCCTGGATTGTGTGTCTTGAAGGAGATGCACACAGTTTTCTGAAGCCTTTTGGTCTAACAGAGGGCATATTGCAGGGCTGCTTTCCTGCCGCCCGCCCCCACCCCGCCTTCATTTCATTTTATCCCATCATCCTTCTCTTCCTTTCTCTTCACTTCTTCTCTTTCCCTTCTGGAAAGTGCTATTCTTCCCCAGCTCCTGCCTCGCTGCATGGCCTTTCCAGAGTGGGTGGCAGCTGCTCTGTTTGTTCTGAGCCAGAGACTGGCCCCAAACCATGAAAAAGAAGAGGAAGAATAATGATAATTCCGTGACAAGAGGACAGTGATCTCAAGTTCCGTGGCCCTGGAGGGCGGCACCTCCTGTCTCCAGTGGCCCCTGCTCCACTTTCTGTGCTGAGCGGGATTCAGAGGAGTGGGCGGGGGAAGGGGCTTGGGAGGGAGCCCTGGAGAAGGAAGGGGATGTTCTCACAGCTTGGGAAGGAGCCTGTGTGTTCGGCACCTTGACGTGTGGGGGCTGCAAGGTAACACAGCTCACCTGAACCGTCCAGAGCCCCAGGGGCCCACCTGCAGCGGCGTGGGAGGGACGGGGAGGGAGTGACTCAGTGGTGCTCTGAGGGGCAGCAGAGCAGACTGCCACGGCTGTGGTGGAAAGTCGAGAACAGCTCGTGTTAGTCACGTCTGTCCTGGAAGGGATCACGCTGTCACCGTACCCACCTCGTGGGGCAACAAGGATTGAGTGAGGCAGTGTGGATAGAAAAACGCTGCAGAGATTAAAAACAAAGAAAAGCTCCAGAAATGTAAGGAATAATGTCAAGTAGGGAAGAGGGCAGTGTGGGAAGGAATTTCTCCTGGGTCTTGGTCCCCCTGCACAGGCCGAGGCTGTGTTTGTTCAAGGCATTCCGGGAAAGAACACCAGTGTGTCCACCTGCGGTCCCTGTGCCAGTGACGGGGGCTCCTCGGGGGGGGGGCTGTCAGCCCAGCAGGTGCTTCCTGACTTTGTATCCCACCACCAGGGACACTATGATAAAGCCACCAAAGCACGGTGAGCGTCTCCCTTCGGGCTGTCCCTTGAAATTCCAAGGGACGTGTTTCTCTGTTTTCCTCATCAACAGTTGAGCGTGGAGGGCGGGGAATGTTGAGAATCCCAGAAGGGAGTTTGACAGGCGCCCTGGGAGGCCGGTGCCTGGGCGCGGAGATCTGGAAGGAGCTGCCCTTGGCATCACTCCAGAGACGCCTTCTGCAGCTCCTGTGCTGCACAGCTGACCTTGGCCCTCCCGAAGGCCGAATATGAAATCGAGTGCACGAGTGGGGTGCAGGTGGGAGTGGGTGCAGGTGGATTTTCCAGGTTTCTGTCTAGCTTTTAGAAGGGCAGCTTCTAAGTGAAGTTAGGGTGGGGTTTTCTTCGTGTCACTCTGCCCCCCAAAACATAGAAATCAATGCAACCAAAAGAATATATGAATAGATTGATAAAGTGGGAAAGGATATGGAGGGGAGGGGAGTGTCAATGTTCTTCCCCTATTTTCAGGTCTTTGCTCAAATGCCACCTTCTCAGGCCTCTCCCAGAGTTGCATCTAAAGGAACACTCCCGCTTTACCTTTAAGAATGGGCCAGCTCACCTAAAACACTTGGGACGTTCCCTGGCAGAAAGCTAGACCCCAGCACATGTTCCTACTATGCTAGGATGGCTGTGAGCTATGGATATGACTTATTTTTCTTCTTAACATTATCACTACCTGGCACTCTTATTTTTTAGTTTATTATTGATGGGTTTATTATTGTCTGTCTTGAAGGAGAATGCCAGATCCATGAGGCTAGGGCACTTGGCTCTTTTGTATTGTGAGTACCTGGAACAGCTCTGGTATGTGGTTGATGCTTACTCAAAATGTCCTGAATCCATGAAGACAGACAGACGGTCTTCCTGGAGAAAGTAGCAAAATTCTCTTTACAGTAAAAAGAGGGTCTGTGAGTTCCCGGCATTGCCTGTCATACAGAGAGCTTTGGGGTCCTGATCACCCTAAATCTTTCTAAAGCAGGGCGTCTCAACATCAGCACGGTTGACATTTAGCCGGGTCATCGTTTGTTTTGGGGGCTGTGCACCGTAGGATGGTTAGCAGCTTCCTTGGTGTCTCTGCACTAGAGATGCCAGTAGCAACCCTGGTCCCCGGTTGTGACATTCCAAAATGCCCATAGCCAAATGTGTCCTTGGGAGTGGGGGGAGGGCAGAATCGCCTGGGTAAAAACCGCCGTTCCAGATGAAAACGAGTCTCTGCACGCTGCACCTTGGCAAACGGGCCGCCATCGAAGAAGCAGTTGCAGCTTACAGCGCGTTAATGCTGCGGCATTTGTGTTGCGATGAGGTGGTTGTCGTTCCATTCCTTCCCCCAGTTACGCATCAATCACATTATAAAAAGAAGGAAGACAAAGGAAGGAGAATCAGCTGACGCGCTTTCATAGTGAAACACGTCTTTTATCGCTGCAACGATGCCTCAGATGTCAGCAGGAGATGTAGAATTAGAAATAATTAAAGCGCATAAACACAGAGCTGCGACCGTGTGGCCCCCGCACGTCACACAGGCACCGGCTGTCAGCTGGGGGTGGCGAGGGGAGTTCTGCAGAGGCAGAGACTGGCCTTCCCTAAGCCTCTCTGTCCCCAGGAGCCCGTCCGTCTGCAATGTGTACGTCGACGGTGACATGGCATGACGGCTGCCTCTCTCTGTGGGACAGAAGAGGTAGATGCCCGGGATTTTACAGGGCGACCCCAAAACTTCAAGGGTGGCTCAAACAGGGCTAGGAGGCTTTAAAAAAAAAAAAAAGTTAAACAGGGTGTTGGCACCCTTATTAAATTGCGTTAAAGAGGACATTGCAAATGATAAGGACAATGTTATTGTATTGGACAAATAACACATGAAAGGAAGGGCTCATGTATTCATTTTTAACATTTAGTTGGAAAGAAATAGCGAAATATCTGAATCATTAGGTTCTCTTATCTCTGATCATCATGACAATGAAAAAACAAGGAGTGCATATATGTGTGTGTGTGTGTGTGTGTGTGTGTGTGTGTGTAAGACACAGCCTGGCATACCTTTTGTGTGATTCCTCCATAAAAGAAAGTTACCCAAGAAAATAGTGTTAGAATTTTCTTATAAATGGATGCATTTCTGTGATAGGATTATAAGCCTTCTCTCTCCCATATTACGGTTGCATATTTTAATGGAAACTTCTATTTGGAACTATTTTTGCCTGCTCCTGTGGTCTGAATGTTTGTGTCCCTACCACCAAGATGCATATGTTGAAATCCTAACCTCTCAGGTGATGGTGTTAGGAGGTAGGACATTTGGGAGTTGATTAGGTTGGGAGGGTACTGTCCTCATGAGTGAGATGAATAAAAGATGCCTGCTTGGTATCGAGGCACACGCCTGTATTCCCAGCAACTCCAGAGGCTGAGGAGGGAGGGTCACTTGAGGCCAGGAGTTCGAGACCAGCCTGAGCAAGAGTGAGACCCTATCTCTACAACAAATAGAAAAATTAGCCAGATGTGGTGGTTCGTGTCTGTAGTACTCAGCTACTTGGGAGGCTGATGCGGGAGAATTGCTTCAGCCCAGGAGTTTGGGGCTATAGTGAGCTATGATTGCATCACTGCTCTCCAGCCTGGGTGACAGAGCAAAATCCTATCTCTTAAAAAACATAAAAAAAGATGCCTTGAGCAAGACTCCTTCGAGACTCCTTTCCCCTTATACCACGTGCAGACACAACTAGAAGGTACTGTCTATGAATTAGGAAGTGGGTCCTCACCGGACGCAGACTCTCCCAGCCTTGATCTTGGACTACCCAGCCTCCAGAACTGTGATAAATTTCTGTTGTTTAGAAGCCACCCAGTTTACGGTGTTCTGGTAGATCAGGCTGAACAGATCGCTGTTCTTGCCCATTGAGACGATTCTACCTGGCTTCCCCTAGCTTTGAGGTTTGGGGCTGAAAGTGAAATTGCTCGTATAGTTGGCCGAAGCACTTGTCTGCCTCTTTCCTGGCGAGGTTCTATGCATTTTTAAGTGGTCACAGGCTTGAGGCTTCCGAATGATGCCTTCGGAAGAGCAGCTTACTGCCCCTTTACGGATTCATTTGTTTGTTCCTTAGTGGAACACAAGCTCTGTAAGAGCTGAGACTTTGTCTTGTTCACTAAATACCCTCAAAGTTGGCAGTTGATAAATACTTTTTTAAATGAACATGTGGATCAAATGCATGACTTTGCCTGGTTAATGCAAAATAGTCCAGTTGACTAGTCAACAAAGCAGAAAGGTGGCACGTCTGTTTTAAGGCCATCTGGACTTCAAATACGTGTGCATTCTCTGTGACTCTCACTGTTTCCTTCCTTCAAGATGCTTTTGTTTGGACCTTCTCCTGTTTTGATCTCATGGGAAACATGGAGGTGGCAAATTCCTAAACATGCTCACCGTGATTCCCGTATGGAGGCTGCTATCCAAGTGAACCTGCCCTGTGGGCTTCTTTTGATCAGGAACTAAGTCCGTTGTGCGGTTTGCCTGGCGGTGATGAGTATAGTGGGGTTATGATGTGTGGGCCTCCATCTTTTTTGGTATATATTTTTCCCAATTCCAGGATCAGCACTGACTCCTCAGATCTTGTTTTTTGTAACCCCTAAGGTTCTACCCCCAGAAAGCTGATCATCTTCCTAATGACCCAGCTGGGTCAGCCCAGGAACCGACTCAGGCCTGGTGCTCTTGGTAGCGATGGGTGAGTGGCTTCTGCACCTGTGAGCCGGACGGGTCTGGGGAGTGAACACAGTAGAGGTGCTATAGTGATGCTACTGCTTCTTGTTTCAGGGTGCAGCAGAAGACCCCCAGACGGCCCTGGCACTGAACTTTGACTCTGCATTGCTGAAGAAGAAGTCTGATCCCGAGGGTCCCACGCTTCTCTTCCCTGAGAGTGAACTTTCCATCCGGATAGGTAGAGCTGGGCTTCTTTCAGGCAAGCTCTTTGCTGCAGACACTGAGCTGGGCCAGGTGGTGTGGACTTGGTACTGGTGCTAGGACGAGTAATGAGGGAAATGCCAGGCTCTCTGTCCCGTGCCTCCAAATTGCTCACCCTACCATAGCATAGAACTAAACTGGCATCTGGCCCGGCACCTTCTTTTCTCATTTGTTCTCCAAACCACCTGCTTGGTCCACAGGAGGTAATGGTAGCTTTTGATCACGTTTCAACTTGCACAAGCGGATAAGGGCCACTCTGATGGGGCTGGTTTGAGTTAGAGAGCGTCAGCATTTGTCCCTCCATGTCCCCTCTCCTAATGAACCCTCTTTCGTTTATGTGACTTTCACCTTTTTGATTCACCTGGGAGAAGGGCAGATGTTTCTCTCACTGATGCACTGATTTTGGAGCCAGAGAACCTTGACCTTGAGAGCAAAGTTATGCCTTTTCTCTTGAGTTAGAGGGGATGCGTCCCTCGAGAGGAATCAGATAGCAATTCCTAAATCTCCATGGGAAGGGGCCTCATTTTCAGCCTCGGGGTCAGACTCTCCTCTCCTTGCCCTGACATTGTTCACAGAGGGCACTTGGCTAACTTAAGGGCCAGCTAGCACGAGGAGAGTTGCATGCCTTTCTTTTCCTTTGAATTTATGTAAGAAGTTCCCTCATTTAATCCTGCAAGCCCCTGGGTACTGTGGATTTAGGAACCAGTGCTGCTGAGAACTGGGGCCTCTTAGCACTCTCTTGAGGCAATGAGGAAAAAGACACTGGTCACTGCCTTCCCAGGAGGGGCCTAAGGGGGAAAAGTCCTTTCACATTTCCATGCTGACATTTTAATTTAATCTTTTTGCCATCTCTAGGCCAAGATGATTTCTAGCCCTCGGGGAGAGCAAATGTAAAAAACGTTACAGCTCCAGTTCTCTGGTGTCTGCGTTCAGATTATGTCCTGTGTGAATTATTCATGGAGAACTCGAATGTCTTCTCCACGTGGGCTAGTCCTCACTGCCTCCCACAGAGTCACGTGAGATAGAACCAGGAAATAAAATTTCCTTTAACAGGAGCTTAAGTCATAGAGGGTTAGAAAGACAAACCAGTCCCCCTGCCGCCCATCACACAGGCCATTTGTACTCAGATCCCAACGACTTCGGTGTTGACTTCTGTTCTCCTTTTATTGGAGTATAGTCAAGGACTGTCCTAGTGGCAAGGGTGCGGTGCTGTATTCAAGTAAAACTTGTCATTTTTCATGGGGACACAGAGATGCAGGCCTTTCTGCCGATTCTCACGAGCACGATGGTGCCGGGGCCCCTGTGTGCCCCTTTGAAGACTTTCCAAAGGCGATTCTGAGCCTTTGCTAGATTTTAAAAAATTGGCCAGACTTTATTCTATCCATTTTTTATCTTCGAGGCTATAGGGTGGGGAGACAGTTGGTGCCTCTTAATCAAAAAGTGGCAAGTTCTTCAATGGACCCTTTTTCCATGGGGCCACAGCAAGGACAGGGCTCGGGGAGTGGGGACTGTTGGACCTTCTGGGCTAATCCGGAGCCAAGTGGTGGTGGGGCAGTGTGTGTGGGGGAGATGCAGTCCTGTCCCCTTGCTCAAGAACACCAGGCAGAGCCCGTTACCAGGTTACCAAGCAACCCTTGTTAACCGTTGCTGGCTGTTCAGATCCAAAGGCAAATGCAGCCCTTGGGGGGAGCACAAAGGTGGTCTCCCAGCCATGTCTTGAAAGGTCGCTGTTTTTCTCACCTGCACACACCTGTGGGTGTCAGGCAGCTGAGGACTCTCAAACGGATAATCTGATAATGGCTATTTGGTGACCGGCCTCATGTAGATGGAGCCTGAATATGCACTATTTGTACCATCTGGATTTGCCCTCAAGCCTGCTGTAAATGGAGCAAGGAGATTGGTTTAATGGGTATTTAGTGACTAACATCAGCCTTTAAAAGATATTGGCGCTGCTGTCGTGTCCCATAATTGGCTCAGCACGAGGAGAGGCCAGAAGAGCCGCACTACGGGGGAGACGTTCAGCTGTTCTTGGCGGCAGCAGCAGCCTGAGCCGGGAAGAGCGTTTATGAGATACTTTCCTATTTATGTCTTGGTGCCAAATGTTTTACGATATCAACTGTTCTCAACGCTGGGGATATTTGGGGACTTAGCTTGGCCAGAAATTCTTCTAAAACTGCCTGTTTTTCCTCCTTTCCCTCTCCTCATCTATCCATCTCCAACTAGCTTCCTTTTCATTAAAAATATAATGATATGGGTTAAAAATAAAAAGTAATTTTTCTTCCAGCTTCAAATCCCTTCTGGTCTAGTCCTCCATCTCAGACACGAACGTTGTCTCTGGTTTCTTGTGTATCTCTTCAGAAATCCCTGCAGAAATACCGTGTTTATACAGTCACACCTGACCCATTGTTCTCAACCTTGCGTTTCTGCACGAAGACACTTTGGTATTTGTTTCCTGGGTACTCATAGATCCTGTCCTTGTTTTTGGCCATGACGTTCCTTAATTGGTCCCCTCTCATGCCCTTTAGATGAATCCTGGTGTTTTGCTGTTATAAAGAACACGGCAGGGAGCATTGTAATATGCACATCTCTGTAGGCAATTATGTCATTGAGTCAATTCTGGACACCGGGCCAGGGGTTCTTTACATCTGGGGTCCATCCATGGTGCCAAAGGGCTCATGAACCGCTTGAAACTTTATGCAAAATTTGTGCCCGTGTGTGTTTTTGGAAGGCGAGGGACCATAACTTTCACCGCACCCCAGGTGGCTCTGTGACCCAGTGTCGTTCTGGACTTGGACTTGTCTGCCTCAGTGTCCCCCATTCAGCTGTCAGGTTGGACTTTTTTTTTTCCCCCTCACTAGCACCCTCTATAGGCTAAAGAGAGGGTCGTGAAAAGCAAATCAATCCGTTCTTTCACTGTAATGATTGTTAACTGCCCCATTTAAGTGTGCGGTTTGTTCTGGGGGAGGGAGTTGAAACTCTCTTCACAAGGGGACTTTATTATTATCGGTGCCTTTCATTGCTCTGTTAGCGTGACGAATGGAGAATTGTCCATCTCGTGTATCTGTGGAAGGCACAGGAGTAGGCATTACTTTCTGGTAGAGAAAGGGGTGGATTTACCTTAGGAGATGATTTAGTTGTGAGGTGGCACCTGTGCATTTTCTGCAAATCTTATGACACTCCAGTTAGAAACAGATTTTCCCTTAAAGCCCTATTCTGTTGTTAAAGGAGAATTCACTTGGCAATAATAATCCTACCTAGATAGGCTTGCAGATCTGATGTAGTTATTTAAGCCACGTTTTGCAAAATGAAACTCAGGCAGCCCTGGTGTTGAGCGTGTTATAGAAGTGCAATCTCTGGCCCATTAGCAATGTGTGTTTCTTTGTTTTCTACTCTAAAATCCGGAATTCCTTATTGGGTATGGCTGGGTAGCACCTTCCTGTGGAAATGGCCTTCAGGGCAATTATCTTCCTTCCTCCCTCCCTCCCTTCCTCCCTCCCTCCCTTCCTCTCTCTCTCTCCCTCTCTCTGTCTCTTCCCCCCCCCCTCTCTTTTCCTTCTTGAGACAGAGTCTCACTCTATTGCTCAGGTTAGAGTGCAGTGGTGCAATCATAGCTCACTGCAGCTTTCAACTCCTAAACTCGAGCTATCCTCACCTCAGCTCCCAGGTATTTTGGACTACAGGCATGTACCACCATGCCTGGCTAATTTTCTTCTTTTTTGTAAGAGACGGAGGGGGTCTTGCTATGTTGCCCAGGCTAGTCTCAAACTCCTGGCCTTAAGCAGTCCTCCCGCCTTGTCCTCCCGAAGTGCTGGGATTACAGGCACAAGCCACTGCACCTGGCCCAGTTTCCTTTCTAACTCCAGGTTCCCAAGGGCTGACCCTGATCAGTACCTACCAGGATTGTCCCATTCAGAACCATGGTGGAGTTCTGGGATTCCTTGATCCCCTTCTCCCGCCTCAAGGCACCCTCTCCTCCAGGTGTCACGCCATCCTCTTTTGATCTTGTGCTTGGAATCATCCCTTTCCCCCCATTTTCCCTGTTACATGTCCTCTGTTAAGTGCCTCTGGGAAAAGATCTGGTGAACAGGGAGCTATTGACAATTGACTTCACGTCTTGCCACTACTCAGGTGTTTGTGTTTTAACTGGGAACAATTTCTCTAGTTGAACGAGGAACCTGATGGATTTTCGCACTGGTTGGTCTTTGGAGGATTTTATTTTTAGGCATACGTGTGGGGCTTAGGGAGGGCAGCCAGGCTGTGTGGGATGGAGTCTCTTCTTGGGAGCAGCTGGTTCTCTCTGCAAGATCAGCCACATACATTCAACTCCCAACTCCTAGACTTCCTTGGCACTGAAATTCCCTGGAATAGCCTAAGCTTCTGGAAGGAAAGAGGGTGTTAAACAGCTTCAAGATTCTTATGACAATCACTTTTTTCTTCTTCCGCATCTTCTAACTTTCCATGTCTTCCAGAGGAGATGTTCCTTTTGTCGCTGATATTTCATTTGGTATCAAATTTGGTAAACTCAAATTTGATAGAGTCAGGTGTAGCTCCTAGGAGAAATTGTGAGTTTCCAAAATAGTGCATTTAGGGAAATCTCTGAGAAGTTATTAATTTTGACTTTTTATTGGTAAGATCTCTAAAAATGAAAGAATAATTTCACAGTAATTCATGTAGGTTTAATGTCTTGAAAAGTAGTTTTTGCAATTAGACTTTTTTTTGGTACCTGATGTTTTGGGGAGACTTTAAAGTATTTTTCTGGGCTGACTGAGAGGAGCTGCCTGGGAGCTGGCCCTGGCTTTGCTACTTCCTTTCTGGGCTTGGACCTGTCACCTGGGATTCTTCATTAAAAGGGTGGGAATGAAGCCAACTGGCTTTTAAAATGGGCCACACAAAAAATATTTTGCAGAAGGACGAAGAGCAAAGGGCTTAATAATAATAATTGCCAGGAGCTCTTTAGCATCACGGATATTAAATAAG